GGCTCATTTGTGGCATCTTATGATCTAGTTTCCAGACCTTTCAAATAAATTATTTATTTATACGAAGGGAACATAATTGACTTTTTGGTTGAGAAACCCAATTTACCAAAGTGGCCAGGGAGAGACATAGTTCATTTTGCTCTATTATCAAATCAATGTTCAAATAATATTTTAGGATTATTTATTTTCGTCAATATGAGAAAAATGTCAAGACTTATTTCCCATGTTTCTTAAATGTCAGAGGAAATTGACCTGAGCTGAGGGAATAATCAGTGCCTAGTGTTTTATGGTTTTCAGCTGAAAGATTAAGACAAAGCACTGAGCGTGGATTATGAGCTTTGCCCCCTGTGCTCAGTGGGCTCTGGTTGTGGGGTGTGAAGGAATCTGGGTTCTTGCTTCTCTGGCATTCTAGACTAATTGGAGAGTGACATTTGCAGGGATGAAAGAAACCCTTAGGAGTGGGATAAGTTAGGTAGGTGTCTGAAGGGAAGTTGTTTCTGAAGGTTTATCAGGGTAGGTAAGTCAAACTAGACCTGAGACAAGCTTTGCTTGAAAATGTGGATGGGAAGATACCTTAGTATGTGGGAAAGCAAGAATAAAGGATACTGGGGGGCTAGTAGGGAGACGGCATTAAGTAGAGGATGCACGTGGCAAAAAGTAGCCTGGGGTAAGAACTATTTATTTAACATTTCAGTCAGTCCATCACATTCAGTAGTCATTTTATGAGCACCTCAAAGGTACGTGCCAGGACCTGGGGATGTAAACCCAGGCAGGCAAGTCCTTACTCTTAAAGAGTTCACAGTCTGGTGGGTGAGACAAGCAGGTGGGCCATCTAACGAGGCGATACAGAAGGCTTGTGAAGGCTCTCTCCAGGGTGTGTGGAGTCTAAGCTGAATCTGGAGGGACGGCTGGGAGTCCGTCAGACAAGGAGATGGGATAGAGATAGTACTGAATGGCAATACTAGGTAGAGTCAGATCAGGAAGGACTTGGTGTACCACAGAGAGTTGGATTTTATCCTATTGCCTTTGAGAAGTCACTGAAGGAGTTTGAATCAGGGAGCCTCAGGGTAAGATGTTTATTTTCAAAGAATCTCTCTGATAGCAGAGTGGTGTGTGGATGGGAGAGGACAGGGCTGAAGGTAAAGAGACTAGAACAGCGGTTCTCAGCCTGTGGGTTGCAACCCCTTTGGGGGTCGAACGACCCTTTCACAGGGGTCGCCTAAGACCATCGGAAAACAAAAAGATTCTTACATTACGATTCATAACAGTAGCAAAATTACATTTATAGAGTAGCAACAAAAATAATTTTATGGTTGGGGGTCACCACAACATGAGGAACTGTATTAAGGGGTCGCGGCATGAGGAAGGTTGAGAACCACTGGACTAGGGAGAGGTAGTGGTGACCGGACATGTGACAGTGGCTGTGGACTGGGGACATGTGGCTGAGGTTGGTAAATAGGGGGTAGATTGGACAGGACTAGGTATCTGAATGTTGGGTGGGGGATGAAGAAGTGGGAGTTAAGGCGGTGGGATGAAGTATCACGTAGACCCTGAAGTCACCTGTGATAGTTCAAGGCCCTGGGGTGAAGGCTGTGAGCCGTCAGGCACCAGTCTCTGGTAGACACTGGGGCAGGGCAGGATTGGTCAGTAGGATGTGCAGGGAACGAACCTTCCTTCTTTCCTTCATCTCTGAAATATTTGCAAGTTTGAAAACCCTCCTGGAATCTATAAGGATCAAGGTACCAAAGGGTTAGTTTCAACAGTTAATAACTCCAACCATCTTAACCACTTTATGGAGATTTATACTGGCTTTTCCATGAAGTACTTTCAAGAACTGCAGTGAGATTTGCTCTTTATGGCTAAATCTCTAGTCAGCATCTTTGTTATAAATATTATACTTAGAGATTATTTTCGGAGTAAAGATATATCTTTTTTTCTTATAGTTTTAGTTTTTATGCTTAAGAAGAAAATAATCTAGGGAATTATTTGTGAAATTTCCTTTCTGGAACAGATGGCATCCAGTTTAATCTTGATGACCTGTGATTACTTTTAAAATGACTTCAAGCTGTTGTCAGTAACCTTAATACCTGATATTGGGAAACAGTGTCGGGATGGAAAGGGCTAGAAGCTGATAGCAGGACAGAGCGCTGAGAATGAGGGAACCTGGATGTGATGACACTAAGATGACTTCGTAGATCTGATTGTGTCAGACATTTATTGCTCTTCGTCAGAAGCTAATGTATACTTGAAGAGCAAACGGTAGAGACAGTGTCAGCTGACGTAGGTTATATCCATATTCTTCCATGCAATTTTAAAAATAAAGCTTAAAGATCAAAGTACAAAGTTACTTTTCCCAGTGTACAAAGTATGAACATTGTAGAGTTTGTTTCATAAGGATAAATGTAAGACCAGTTATCACTCTGTCTTATTAATATAATGTCAGAGTTGTGTTTTTCAAACTTTAGTGTTCATTAGGGCTCTTGTTAAAATGCAAGTTTCCATTCAGTATGTCTGAGGTGGGGCCTGAGATCCCTCATTTCTCACAAGTTCCCTGGAACTTCTGATGCTGCTGGGTCCTGGGCTACGTTTTGAATAGCAAGGGTCTGAGCTGAGGTTCCTATCTTTTGGGGCACAGAGCTTATTGAGAAACTGAAGAAAGCTGTGGACCTCAGAACAGTGAACCTGTCACCACACCCTTCCCCACTACCTAACTCCAGTCATATGATGTCAAAGAGGTAGTGAACCCTCCTTGCATCTTCAGTTTTGATTTCAGAAGTGCTAATAGAAAGATGCACATGTTATATAATGGTTTTTCAGTCAGTATCTTCCCTAGTTACTTTCATGGAGTGGATGTTAATTTAAAACTGGGAAAATACTTTGTGGTTACGTGCAGGTTAGAATAAAGGATCATGTGTAGGGCCCTTTAAATCCAGCTGCTCCAAAAGTATAAGGCTCTGAGCTGTGGCTTTACTTAACCTCCAGCTTACAACAGGAAATGTAGGTATGGTATGAGCTGCATTGCTTCATGTTTTATAAACAAGACTTGACACATACTGTGAGCACCTATCAGGGTCACTTCTTGTCTTTTTAGGTCCCTGGATAATTTGGTGCACCCAACAGGTATTTGTTGACAATAGTGGTTGTAAATTGAAAGCTCTAGATGCATTAGGTTAGTGAGTAATTGAGAAACAACCCATGTGGGAATGGTAGGAACCCAGATGTGGCCGTCTGTGGTGTTGAAACTCCCCTGCAGTTCTTTTGCTGGGCAGGATATATACTTTTGGTAGTTGAATGCTGTAGGAGGAAAGGCATCAGTTTGTGAAGAATTTGGTTTAGGGCCACAGGAACCCGGGGTGTCCCTCAGACAGTTCTCACTTTTGGGCCCATAATGGAGCCGCCCAAGACCTGGAGGGCAGGAATGGAAGCTCTTTGTACACTGGAGGGATTTCATTTGTTTACTTGTTTTTTAAACCATTGTTCAGTTCATCCAGCCACACCCTTCATCAAACTGGCTTGGAAAAGTTGCCGTATATAAAATGCACTTTTTTTACCCAAATTTGTGAGGAAAAAATAAGGATCCACATTATACATCAGTACTAATTCCGTGTCTATATAAATGTTTTAAATTCTTTTATTTATGCTTATGAGTTAAAAGTGTAACTCTAGAAATCTATAATGATATCCATATGCAAATTAATACACTGGAATACGATAATCGGTTTTGTTGAATTTACCACCAGCTTGCAATAAGGAAGAGTTCTTGGTCTTCTATGATATGTAAATATCGTAAATTTGTTACCGGTACATAAAATTTCTTGTACCTTGTATATGTTCTTGTGTTTTGTAATTATACCTAAGTTTTTATCCTTGTTCCTTACACTCCATTTTCTTCTTTCTCTATAGGTAGCTTTTTGAAAAATACTTAGGTTATCCCTTCTTATTTTTAAATATAAATGATAACATTCTGTATATTTTTCCCCCACCTTTTATTCCCCACTTAACAGTAGATCCTGGCTTCCACTCCAAAGACAGTATACAGAGATCTTTGTTCCTTTTTCAGTGACATGACACTCCATTGTGTAGATATATGGTCATTTGTTCTAGAGAACTGTGCTTTTCAGTTCTCTTGACTTCCTGTTCTGAATGGAAATAGAAAGAAGATGGGGATGAGGGGGCAGTGCCCTGGCTGCTTCTAGAAGCAGCACCTGGTTGTGACCACTTACTCCAGTTTACCTTTTAGCTCTTATCCTGGGTGGAGGGATACAGTCTTTCTTTTCATAACTAGTTGGGTGGGACTGCTTTTATCATGATTCGCAGACTTCCATGGTTTATCTCATTTCATTTATACTTCCTTTGGCTTACAGTTAGAAATTCTTCTAGGTTTTAACAACATGCTATTTGTCAGCCTTCGTTTTTAATGGTGACTTCTATTTTGTGTCTTCATGTTTATATTAGTAAGGATTTGGGGGGAGTCATATCAGGGATGGTGCTTCAGATGCCATTTAAAAACAAATTACCATGGGCTTGCCAAGTGGTCAGTTGGTTAAGAGTGCGAGCTCTGAGCTACAGGGTCACCGGTTAAATTCCCACATAGGCCAGTGAGCTGCGCCTGAGCTGAGCTGCCGCTGAGCTGCCAACAGGTGGCAGGATGGCTCAGCTGGTGAGAGCACATGCTCCTAACAACAAGGTTGCCAGTTCAACTCCTGCATGGGATGGTGGGCTATGCCCACCTGCAACTAAGATTGAACACAGCACCTTGAGCTGAGTGGCTGTGAGCTGCCGACGGACAGCTGGATGGCGACTGGACTTGGAGCTGAGCTAGCTGTGCCTCCACAACTAAGATTGAAGGACAACAACTTGGCTGTTCCCCTTCCCCAATTCCCCAATAAAAATCTTTAATAAAATAAAATAAAATAAAAACTACCATATGGGAAAAGTAAATTAAAAAAATTTTAAACAATCTTTTCTTTCCTAACCAAACTGAATTATTTGTGTTGCAGGGAAAAGGACTTGGAAGCCAAATTCATTATTCAAATGGAGAAAAGCAAAACAACAATCACAAACTTAAAGGCAAGTAGCAACCTGGCCTTGCTCCTGGTCCATGAGCCCCCATGTTTGTTTTATTGTCAGAATGACTTCGATAAAGAAAACGCTTCTGCCATTGCCGTACTCCTCCTTTAAATGAGTCACTTCTCATTTTCTGGCTCGGGCTCAGTCATGAAGCAAGAGAGTTGATCTCTGCTTCCTCTCCCATCCTTGGTTTCATTTGATCTAAAAAACAGACCTGAGCTGTAGCCCTGGTGTGTGAGCTCATCGCTTAGCCCAGACCCAGGCATTTTTATCCTGTATCCTGTGGTGGCCCCTGAGCCTGGCAGTTGACTGCATTTTGTGAATCATTAAATAAACTTTGGGCTTAGATTTGTTTTCATTTTTAATGAAGACAATCATGTTTTATAAACTTTGTAAGAGGAGCTGGTATTATTAATCAAAACTCAGGGGGTAAAAGTTAAAAAAAAACATTGATTTTTTTTTTTTTTCTGAAAAGAATGAAAAAAATTTTCTAAGGTGGTAAGTTCCTTTTGCACTTAAAATAGCCTATTTGTTTCTTTGGTCAGTGAATTTGTTAAGGACCCCGAATACTTTTCACTTAGGGAGGAAATAAGGGTGTAAAATTAATAATAAAGAAATCATGTGCTTTATAGACTCAACCCCTTTCTCCTGACATTTGTCATAAACTTGGAGGTTTGCGTTTCTGAAGCCTGCTGCTTCATGGCCAAGTGCAGAACATCCTCCAGTTGGATTTCTCTTAATTTGTGGCTCAAGGGACTGGACACTTTGAAATCTAATTTCAAAGTAGTGCAACTTGATCTCCAGTGATAGAAGCTGGGGAACGCTCCTATCCTCCAGTTGGGCTGTGCCCTGGATAATTTGATAGTCTTCCTTTGAGGCTCTGGTGTCCCTTTGCCTGAGGCATTCTCCAGTGGAATGCCTTTCTTTCTCCACTGACCACAATCCTTCTACCCTCTATCTAGCCCACTCTTAGCTTTCTCTCCTTTGACCTCCAACACCTTCTCACGTTTCTACCAGTCACCACTTGTCCCTTCCCTACTGTTAGTTACCTTTGCTTTGATTCATGTATCTTTGTATGCTCACAGTGCTGTGGTAAAAGTTTAATCTACAAAATTGTATTTACTGAAATAGTGAGAGACCCCTGGCCATGGATGAATCTCCTTTCTTTGTGCTTAATGGATTCTGCTTTCCTTGATTACTGTTGTTGTTTTTTGAGTTTTACAAACATTTCCTCGACTGATATAACCATAACAGATCTCCAGACTTTTAACATTTTAATAATAAGAACTTTAATATTTTTTCTGTATAGTATCTGAATTATGTTGGGAAAACATGATGTTCTGTGAGAGACTTTGGTGGCATATGCAGATTTTTAAACATGGTTTTTGGTTCAGTTTAGGTAACAGAACAAGGTAGACAATATATTTGCAAACATCTGCAGTAATGTGCTATGTCTTGGGAGAGTCTAGTCTTTCAGAAGTGGGAGAAATTACTTCTGGATGGAGTGCCCAAGGGAAGCTTCATCTAAGAGGAAGCATCTGACCTATAGTTTTCAGTGGGGCCACTCTAGGGGGCTCCAGTCACATCATAATCTATGTGAATAGTGCCTCCTGGCCTTGTGCAGACCTCAGTGATGGTGGTTTCGGGTGGAGGGAACAGCAAAAAGCATTGAAGACAGGCAAAAATAAAGTCTGGCTGAAGTATTGGGTTCGTATAAGGTAATCATGATAAAAAGTCCAAAAAAGTAGCATTGGGTTGTATCATAGAGTGGCCATGGATTGCTGGGATGACTTTAGGTTTATTTATTTATTTTTTGCTGGGGGCCAGGGGTGGGGGTCAGGAAGAGTTAATTGCTTCTTTGGATGTAAATATGAAAAATGGTGATCATTGCATATTTTTTATGAAAGTTTTTTTAAAAATTGGATCACTTGTTAACTGACAGTGCTCTTCATTATTATTTTCTTCTTATTATTATCATAATCATCTCTATCTAGATACCAGAAGGAGGGACGGGGGACTCAGGAAGAGAACGGACCAAGACCTTCACTTACGACTTTTCTTTTTATTCTGCTGATACAAAAAATCCAGATTATGTTTCACAAGAAATGGTAAGATATTTTTAAAATCTTTAGTTTGGTTTATTTTCATACCCTAAAACTCTTAAAACAGCTTACTAATTTTTTTCTGAATATAATTTATGTAAAATTAGTCTTTGCTAACTTAGCACCATTTATCTTAAGCCTGAGAAGAATAAAGTCCCTCTAAAATGGACTTTTATAACCTCTGAGCATGATGATCATAACTTTTATTTCAAAACCTTTTATTTCTTAACTTTTATTTCAAAATGCTACTGTTTTGAAGGCGCTCTGCAAATAAAACATTTTTTTGGGGGGCTGTTTATATGCTGCTAATCTTGGCAAATAAACCACTTAGTCTTATTCCTGCTGTGATGCAGAGCTCTGGGAGGTGGACTTCAATCTCAAGTCACATCTCCCCTGCTGGATGGATCATTATGGTTCTAGAAAGAAAGTTTCTAGAAAGAGAGAGCATTTTGTACAGAATCTTTCTAGAAAGTAGAGCGAAGCTGGAATTTGTCCAAGAAACCTGTACTGTAGGCTTTTATGGTCTCAAATGTGGACATGACGTGGGCAGATAAGAACAGACTCAAAGATCCTCCCAGGAGACCATTGCATGTTGACATTTCATGTGAACAGAAGGACAAGGGTATTTACATAGGTGGGTCAAGGAGGGTGTTTGAGCAGAGTGGGGTTATGGGAAACACCAGTGTGTGTGGGAAGAACATTGGTTTCATGGCTGGCCCTCTTCCTGGCTTATTAAATGCCTCTTTTTTTTTTTTTTTTAAAGATTTTTATTGGGGAATTTGGGGATGGGAACAGTGCTGGGGAATTGGGGGAAGGGGAACAGACAAGTTGCTGTCCTTTTGTTCCTCAGTCTAGTTGTGGAGGACGTTGCTTCATTGGCCCAAGTTGGCACCATCATTTCGCTCTTCCTGGGTGAGGCAGATCAGTTGCCGGCTTCTGGGTGGTCGCTTACTGTGGCTTCTGGCCGCTCACACTGGTTGCTGGCCGCTCACGCTGGCTGCTGGCTATACACGGTAGCCCATGGCAGCCTACTGCAGCAGGGGCTGCAGCCTACGCCATCGCCGGCGACTCTCGGCAGCCCAGCTCCAGGTTGAGCTGTTGTTCAGCATCTTAGCTGTAGAGGGTAGTGTCACTGGCCCTCATATGTGGGATCCGAACTGGGGCCCCCTCGCGTCCCAAGCCAGCTCTTAACCAATGTGCCACTGGGCTGGCCCTTAACTGCCTCTTTAGCTACAATATTTCAGGTCTCCATGTGTTCAAAAAAGGCTAAGAACTCCTGTCCAGCCTGTCCTGGGTTGTAATCCATGCAGTGGCGTCTTCAAGTACTGTTTTTGTCTGGTTTCTTGCAATCTGATGTGTCCATGTACCAGAATGACTGGCATTACCTGGGAACATGTTAGAAATGCAGAATCTCAGGACCTATCCCAGACCTGCTATCAAAAACTGCGTTTTTTTTTTTAGCATGATCCCCAGGTCATTTGCATGCACTTTAACATTTGAGAAATTTAGTTGGTTTAGAAATGGATTGTGATGGAGATTGGCTTTCTGAGGCAATGTTGGAGTTAAGATAGGTTGTGAACTTAGAGAAGTTCTTCAAAGGAGAGGACTGGAGTGATTGTGTCCAGAAGATGTTTATTCAGCATCAGGGAAAACTAGAAAGGACAAGAGCTATAAGAATGGGAGCTATACAGAGAGATGAAGTACCTTGTATGAAAGAGGGGCCGGGAGAGGAAAGATGAACCAATGTTGCTTGAGTTTGCATTGGAGTCAGAAACTCTGCTTGGTGCTCATGAACACTATCTCGTTTAATCCTCACAAGGACCAAAACAAGGTCAATGTTAGCTCCATTTTTCTTTGTCAAAGAGACCTAGTAAGATCAGATAACTCGCTCAAGTCCATAGAAACAATTGACTTCATAGTTGAGGAGTTGAGGTCCTGGGGTTGATGGAAAAGGCAGTGGATGGAGATGCCACTGGAAGGTTTAAGGATATGAGAAAAGGATTGGTGTGTTCTAAATGGCAGACTGATAGAGCAGCCCTGTTGAATGAATGAATAAATGAACAGGTGAGTGAGTGAAGATGATTTTGGTGTTGAGGTAACGGGGTTAATCCATGTTGATAGCTAGGAGTCTGGAGGAATAGGATGTTATAGATATATATTGGAATCCAAATTTTGGCTTTAATATAGGAATGGGAATGAAGTGGCTGGTATAAGGGATTTTGTTAAGGGAAAAGCCAGCTCATTGTACAGTCCTTAGAATGTTTTCAACAGAGGATGAGTGAAGAGCCATGAAGTTCTAACAAGTGGCTGGATTTCCCCCTTATTTAACCTACATTTGAGGCCTTTTGGGAACAGTGGACTGTGTTGAGGGGAAGCCCAGGAACAGAGCAGAGCGGTGTGTGACTGCAGGGCCTGGCACACTGGAGGCACTCAGTTTGCTGATTGAAAGAACTTATTTACAGATGGTGGTTAATTTATGGGAACAGATGACATTTCCTGAATTCTGCAAGAGTTAATTAAGATCAGGGAAGTGCTAACAAGTTTAGCTCTTTTAGAAGTTAAAAATAAATGCCCAGAGTTTAAAAATAATTTTAGATTGTAAAATCTTTTAACTGTTAAGGATAATTTTCATGCTTCAGTTATGTGCAGCATCTTTTCTCAGATGCTTTGGGTTCTTTGATTCTATATAAATAACCTGAGATTGCTCCATAAATTACAAAGTTAAAAAAGCCTTGAGATATGGTAGTAAACACTATTTACTAGTACAACCATGTGTTGTTAATCAAAGCAGCATAGGTACAGGAAAATACTATTTTTTAAATACTCCATTAAAGAAAACATAATTTTCTCTCATCCCTAATTTTAATTGCTGTTGTTACCAAAACGGGCTTCACTTTCAAATACTGAGTAATGTTTTCATGGTGTCATATTCAGCACAGGGATTAAGCCAACAGATTGTATCCCTACTATAAACAGGGGAAGATGCAAACTTAGCATGATGTCTTCTTCTCTTTCCCCTTCCTCCTCCTCCTCTTCCTCTACTATCATTTGAATATAAAAGCATCTTGAGAAAATATATCATGCCTATTACTATAGTTCAAGTCAAATTTCCCTTAATGTTAAACAAATATCAAGTAAGATGACCATTATTTCTTCCTTCCAAATTAATTTTAGATTTAGAAAAAAAATCAGTCAGCAATGTAACTCTATACTCATGTAAATTAAAGACCATTATTAAATAAGGTCTAGTGTTATTCGTGGTTCTTGAAAACTTGAAAAGGAGACTTTGATCTCACACAACCTATTCCTTGATTCAACCCTGGAGAAACTTGAAACCTAAAACCTCCCAGTAGACAAGCTGGATGGGAGTCTTTTGTTTTAACAGTGCCCTCTTGTGGGCAGTTCCCTTCAAGTGAGACCCAATGATACCTTGGATTACTTTGGAAATGAGCTTTAAAGTCTGTGCTCAGACAAGCAGCAAGGTGGCTTTTGGGTCACCTGGACAGGTGAGGATCTGTGTGGGTTTGATGCCAGTGAGGAGAGCAGGTCATCAGTTTCATAAAGCAGCCCTTCTTACTCTACCCTGTTTATAGATAACTACTTTGTGGGAGCTGCGATGGAGTAGCCTGTTTTCCTTGCCAAGAACCCCTGAGATGTGGACAGTGTCCTCTGCTTCTCTGAGTCCCAGCCAACTTCGATGGGTTACCTGAAGCTGAGACCGAGCCAGGCCTGGGTCTCAGTACCTCTGCACCTACATTTTCTAGTCCCATTTTGCAGTCATGTCCACCAGCCTCAGCCCCGCCCTGGGCCCCCTGTTGGAGTCTGTTGGAGATGCCAGCTAAGTTAGTTTTCTGGAAAATAAAGTAGTAGTGAAATGGTGGGTATGGATTTTAACCTGAGGGAAGAATTTCATTTTGAAAACTTTTGGTTTAAATATGATATTTTCCATGACTTTGTTTTAGCCCCAGACAAAAGTATGAGAAAAGATCCTTCCTTTACTCTTTGGGAAGTTTATGGAAGGCTGTTCTTCTTATCCAGTGACACTCTGAAATGGTAAAAATGATGACTTTTGTTTAATGCCTTTTGTTTAATCAGAGAGAGTTGAAGAAATATTTTGAATTTTCCCTCATATTCCATATATAATGGTGAAAACGAACTCAGATGAATGGGCTGGAACCCTAAGTCTTCTTGAGATTCCTGGCATCATCTTCTTCACAGAAGTTTTTTTTGGGGAGGTTCTTCTAGGTCTGGTGGGGACTCCTGAATGATGTGTTGGGTGTAGGGAGGGGACTCATGGCTGTGAGGCCTTTAGAAGCACAGGCTTTAGGTCAGAAGATCCTGGGTGCAAATCCCAACCTTGCCACTCACTGTGCATGCTCGGTGACCTAACCCCTCCCCTGGAAAATGGACCTGTTCACCCTGTAGCATTTTTATGAGGACTAATACATGAACACCATGCGAGCTGCTAGTACAGTCGAGAGTTAAGTCATCACAATGTGATAGTAAGGTCAGAAAATATCAGCTCCTAAAAGCTGAAATGGATAAAACTTAACTCAGAATAAATGAGACTGGTCATTTGTTGAAGTGACTCCATTGGAATGACAGTTTGTAAATCTTTGACTGACATGACTAAAGGAAACAAATTCCAAACAAGATGGTGGGAAGATGGTGCCTGAAGAAAGCTGAAGTCTAGTAGATTGTATTTTTATCTTGTCCTTGGATGACAGGCTGTGTTATTAGCAGGGATGGTTATGTGGAGCGGAAGTCAAGATGACCAGTGTGTAGCAGCCCTGTCTAGGGGCTGGGTGTTCTGGCTGGAAGGCCTAGACTCCTGCTAACCTGGGGTCACAGACACTGGGCACTCCTGAGGGGTTGGTGAGGCTCCCACCTTGGTCTGTGGTGACTCCACAGAGCAGTGCCTCACTTTTTATGGCTCTGACTGAGAACCCGATCGCACTCACTCTCTTTGATATCTCTTTAGCTGCTGATGTGCCTTGTTTTTAAAGCAGGGAGGTGTTTTCTGTGCCTTTAGTGTGCCAGCCCGAGAGGGCAGGAGCAGCATGCAGGGTTGTGGGGCTTTGGAAAGCTGTGGTTGATCTCCTTCCCAACTGGGTATAACTCGGACGACCAGGTATCTTGATTTGCCTCTTCCGCATCTATTGTCTAGGTGAAGCATTTGTCCTTCACCCTCTTTCATTCCCTGGAATGACCCTTGACACCTGTGTGGTACAACAGGCCTGGACTGAGGCCACTGGAGTTGTAACCCCAGTCCCCTCACAGCTCATCTTCCAGCCCTCTCCATCCTGGGCAAATACCCAATGAGGAAAAAGCATCTGGATTCTGACTCAGGGGAGCCCAGCCACTCCCCCTCATCCATACCCACCCGTCGGTCAGCGCTGGCCGAACCTCCAAGACTTACTTTGATGGATAGCTGGACCCTTAAAATGATGGCATTGATGTCGCATGGTTAGGGTACTAACTTCCAGCTGCTGTGACTTTCAGGTTTTGAATATTTAGTTTTTGGAAGCTCTGATAGAATGAATACCTTTATAAGTTTATTTAATTCTGAAATGGTAAATCATCATGTTTTAAAATCATCTTTGCTTGTGACCTGATTGTTACTTTGCCTTGTTTACATTTTTATATTTCAGGAATATTTTGTTGATGTAAGTAGGAAAAAGGATGGGGTTGCTTTTTTGTTGCTTAAAAAGTTTCCTTTGGATTAAAATCTGAGGTACACACATGTATTCTGTTGTTACTGGTTCTGCTTTGATTTATTTATATAGTGTAATCCTTATGAGATGAAAATAACAGTCAAGAATATTGTCAATAATGAAGGGGCTTTTATTAAAATCCATGGTAATTGTATCTTTTGTGTTTCTTTTTTTTTTTTTTTTGCTTTCAGGTTTTCAAAACCCTTGGCACAGATGTTGTGAAGTCTGCATTTGAAGGTTATAATGCTTGTGTCTTTGCATATGGGCAAACTGGATCAGGAAAGTCATACACTATGATGGGAAATTCTGTACGTTGTTTACGCTGTGTGGGAAGAAAATTTTTCATTCTCTCTCTCTGGACTGATAGAATTGTCTCTTTTATCTACTTGGTCTGTACTAACTTGCTTTTCATGTTCTGATCATTCTTTAGCAATAAGATAAAACTTAGTAATAAGTTGGACTAAATTTCCTTTGAGAGATTTTAAATTAGAAACAGTTTTAAGTTTATAAGCATGAATAATGGATGCAAGTCTCAGTTCATTTTCCATTTTTAAAGGCTTTATAATCTTATCAAAAAAGTATGCTGGGCCCACAAGTAATTTATTCTTCTTTCCTGCCAACACAACAGTTTGAATAAAATTACTGAACTCTGTTCTTTTTAAAATTATTCAAAACATTTTTCCCCAAGAAAAATATAAAAAAAATCTAAATCTTTGGTAGAAAGGTACTACATAAATTTAACAAATACATTAAAAGGGTTAGAATTAAACAGTTTATATAAAATCTATATAGTTATAAACATAGTATGTATGCAGAGGTTAGTAGTCATGCTATCTAAATTAACAGACAAAGTTATACTTGTCCCAAAATATGGAGGAGTAAAAATTAGACATTATTGCAGGAACTTTATCTCGTCTGTGTTTTCTCCAGATCTAGATGGTGCTTGTGTGTTTTGCTTTTCTTATGTAGTCGTGAAAACACTTCACTGATTCTCAGACCTGTGGCATGTTCTAGATGTGGAGATAGCGGAGGGTCACAGGGCTTCTTGCTGTGGACACAGTGGTGTCTTCAGTGCTAATGGTTTGGTGGTGTGTGGAAGGAGTAGTGCAGCACAGGAGGGTCGGTCCTTCCAGATGGAAGTATTTCTGTGCATGTGTCCTGGCTTCTAAATCCAGGCTTTTCCTTGACATGATCAGTAGATAGATGCTGTGTGGAGAGTCCTCAGTGCTGAGAAGTACTGAAGAATAAATAGAGAAGAACAAACAGATGTATTTCCTTTTATCAACACTTTTCTCTTCCTGCTGTCCTACTGTGCCTTTGAAAAAAAAGCCTTCTCTAAAAATACAATTTACATGTTGATACCCTAGTAGCTATTTTATGTAAGTTAAACATTTAAAAAGCACTTTTAAATTACAACTGTTTACTCTGACCTTATAATTGAGTACTGTTTGGATATTTACAAAAATTATTTTTTAAATAAGAACAACAAATATGATGAAAGGTCTATTTTTTCTTGATAAGAATTGATACTGATTTAATGGTATAAGTAAAAAAAAATCTCTTAAAGCTGTGTTGATTTTTTTTTTTTTTGGGTTGAGTGAAGGTAGGATATACTTCAGAAGAAAACATTGAAGCTCTGAAGTTTTAGCTTCTTAACAAGAACATTTTGCTTCTTCTTTAGTATCATTCTGAGGTTGATCAGCTTGTTCATGCTGACTGAAACATGAAAATTATTGTTTATGCCCACATTATATAAGTAATATAATGTATTAAAATCTTCCTGTCTTAAAATCTTCCTGTCTAGGAAGGCCAGTGTAGGGGGTTAGTGCATCAAAGGAGGGATATCCTACATGTTTTAATGTGGTCCTATCACCTAAGTTTTAAGACAATTATTAGCTATTTTGAGGACTTACTAAGGTTTCATTAATGTTTCTTTTCTGGTCTGTGTATATTTCACCTTCTTTGGCCATTTGACCAGATCAGATTTTTTAATTTTTAATTTTTAAATTGGGGAACAGTGTGTTTTTCCAGGGTCCATCAGCTCCAAGTCAAGTTGTTGTTTCAATCTAGTTGTGGAGAGTGCAGGTTCAGTGGCCCATGCAGGGATTGAACTGGCAACCTTGGTATTATGAGCACTGCACTCTAACCAACTGAGCCATCCGGCCACCCCAAGATCAGATTTCTAACATTTATTCTATAGCTGTAAACTGTCATGTTTGAAAGAGAGTAAGTTTTTTTATGTTTGCAAACCATTATTTAACTGATTAACAGCTGATGAACATATATTACCATAATATAATAAACATATATTTCTTAGGGTGTAGAAATTAGAAAGCTCAATTCTCTCATTTCAGGGAGTAGGATGCAGTTCTGGAGGGGTAAGTGGTGTGTCTGGGGCCGTGGGTGGTAGACCTGGGGTTGGCATGCAGGCCCTTTGAGTCTTAAGTCCACTTCAGCAAACTATTGGGTTGTCGGAAAGGTCATGAGGTATTTTTTCTATGTTTTTCATTGCAAAAATGCATCATGACTTTTCCGACAATCCAATATAAACTGAATCACCAGTTGCTTTTATTTTAAGTGATACCTGTTGCCATTCCTCCTTCCCATCTCAGGGCGACTCTGGCTTAATACCTCGGATCTGTGAAAGGCTCTTCACTCGGATAAATGAAACCACCAGATGGGATGAAGCATCTTTTCGAACTGAAGTCAGGTAGGGCCCGTGGCCTGAGTAACTGAATGCAAGCTTGGCTGGAATGGATACAAGGAATCCAGTGGATTAAATTATCCATTAAATTAAATTATTCATTCAGGCGCAAGGAATGGATGAAGCCTTTGGGTTTCTAAAAGGAGAGTCTGCCTTTTCCCCTCCTATACTATGGTAATTGGAAGTAAAGCTTACAACACTTTTATATTCAATGACTTTCCTGGGTACACATTGGATTAGGATTTGGGAGGCTGGTAGAAATAACCCAGTTTGGTCAGAAACACTAATGTTGGATGCTTTGCTCAAATAGAGTGAGCTTTTTGACTTTTAAGTGTATACTAAATTCACTTGCCTTATTCTTTTTGCTAAATAAGGTTTGCGTTATTGTTTATGTTGGTAGGATCACTATAAATCTGATCTTTAAATAAGTCTGCATGGTTGCAGTGTTTTTTCCTCCTTGAAATCAAACTTTTCTGGGAACCACTCATTGGTGGTTTTGAGGGCAGATATAGCAATCCAGGGCTCTCATGGCTGCTTGACCTCTCAGTGGCTGTGTGGCCTTGGATAAGTTGTTTGAATCACCCTAAATCTCCACCGCCTAACCTGTAAAGTGGGGATAATAGTAGTACCTACCTCTGGGTAATTATAGGGATTAAATGAAATAATCCAGGTAGAGTGCTTAGCATAGCACCTGATGTATAGTTACCACCCGTAAATGCATGTTGCTGCTGTTATTATTGTTAAATATTTGAAATCACTTTTCCTAATTCAGTTCTATTTAAAATTTTTAGCTACTTAGAGATTTATAATGAACGTGTGAGGGACCTACTTAGGCGGAAGTCATCTAAAACCTTCAATTTAAGAGTCCGTGAGCATCCAAAAGAAGGACCTTATGTTGAAGGTAAGAGTGAATATTTCATAGCCCTATTCTTCTTGGGAATTGGTGCAAAAATAATAGTTTTAAAGAAAAAAGTAGGATAATGGCAAGCTTTAAAAATTTTATTTATTTTTGCCAGTTTATTATAGTAAAAATGACATGTGCTGTCGCTTACATAATATCTATTTAATGAATTCATTCTTCACTGGGCATTCTCTGGTTTTGTGGGGTTTGCCTGTAGATTTCCCCCGGCTTTAAGAACTCTCTGGCCGTTTGTTTTCCAATGTTCTCAGGCAAGATAAGCAACCCTTCAACCTGTCTTTTAAATGCCATTGCATTTTAGCAGAATGTTTTTATTAACCCTAATGGTAACATATGACCATAAGGAGATTCTAAGAATCTTACCTTTTGAAAAGAGCGTTTACAGAGTTTCCTGTGCTATGGTTCTCAGCATTTGTGTTGTGACAGTTGTGTTACAGTCAGTTGTAAGAAATGCCCCAGTAAAGATGGGTAAAGTAAAGGGCTGGGCCTTGCTAATTATTCTACAAATAGGCTGGATTTAAGGCTCTTATAATGAAGCTACTGGCAGATGTAAGTAAGCCTGATATGACAGTGTTGGGAGATAGGCAGTCTTATATGTTACTACTGCTGGGTGTAAATTGCCTACTATGGAGAACAATTTTGCAATATCTATCAAAATTTCAAATGTACTTTGATCAGGCAATTCCACCTCTTAAGAATTTATTCTGCAGAAATATTCTCACACATTTGAAAAGACCTATGTGTACAAGATTATTTGTAGCCGCATTACTTGTGATTGGAAACAAAATGTAAACAACCTCTATAATCTCTATAGGAGACTGGTTAAATTGGTTATGGCACATTCATACAATCGAATGCTTTGTAGCCATAAAAATGAATGAGGACCCATCTTAACTGATACAGAATATTCTTCAATATATTATTACATAGAAAAAAGCAAAATGCAAAACTGTGTTTATGGTATGCTGTCATTTGTATAGGAGAGGAAAAAAAGATGTTTTTATTATATATGTAATTGCCTGTCGATGTATGGGTTATTTCTAGCAGGGCATGGAGAAACTGATTACATTAGTTGCCTGACAGAAAGGGAACTTGGGGGTGGGTTATAGGATAGGGGTTGGGGGACACCCTTTACACAGTATACCTTTTGTAGTATTCGACTTTGGAATGATATGAATGTTCCCAAGGAAATGAATAAAAAGTTTTTAAAGAGGATTTTAAAAATGCTTTTGGTTCTGCATGAAGCTAGTGTTTACATTTCCCTTCTGTTGCTATGCCTAATGCTGACGAGGTTGATGATAATGGCTAACATTTATCCCCATGTGTCAGACATATATGTACATTATCAGATGAGGTGACAGAGGCATGGTGGGTTATGTGGCTTGGTGATAACCACGTAAGTCCACTAGTAAGCAGCAGAGCTGGGATTTGATCCCAGGCAGCCCAGCTACAGTTTCTACTCCACTGCAGAAACAAGTAAGATCTTCAAACAACAGATTTGTCCAGTTGTGTATTTACTTCAGAGAGGTAAATTTCTATTCCATTTACTATATATGTATTAGGAAGATTTCTTCACTCCATCTTTTCTTTTTTTTTTCAGATTTATCCAAACATTTAGTACAGAATTATAGTGATGTAGAAGAACTTATGGATGCAGGAAATATCAATCGCACCACTGCGGCGACTGGGATGAATGACGTCAGTAGCAGGTCTCATGCCATCTTCACCATCAAGTTCACTCAGGTAAGGGCAGCTGTGGGGATTGGCTGGCTCTCTCTCTTAGGTCTTTACTGGCTCATTAACACCAGCTGAGGACCCATCATTGTTGAACCAGGAGCAGCAGCAGGCAAAGGTGACTGACTGTCATTTTCTTGTTAATTAGAGTTGAACATGTGCTGTGTGCTGAGTTTCTCTGTGGTTACAATCACAGTAATTTGAAATGTCCTGATGTGTACCCTTAAGAAATATTTAGCAGGCTTCCGCTTTGTTCAAGACATAAAAAAATTTGCTTTGTGCTTAATTAAGCAAAAGTTTTTATTGTTGCAAGCTCTGTGGGAGATAATGGATTTCAAATCAGACCAGCTGGAGGCCAAGGTGAGTAACTCGCTGCTGTGCATTATCGCTCCATGGAGCTCGCCCCACAGTGTTGATTGTGATTATTAGAATCATTTTAAAGGAAAACGAACATTTTTTTTTTTTTTAAGATTTTTTTACTGGGGCACTGGGGGAGGGGAACAGCATTGGGAAATCGGGGAATGGGAACAGACAAGTTGCTGTCCTTTTGTTCTTCAGTCAGAGCTGGTGTCCCAAGCCAACTCCTAACCAACGCACCCCTTGGCTGGCCCAAGAAAACGAACATTTTTAAGGACTAATATAAGAATTTATTCTGATCAAGGGCTGGAGGGCATTTTGGATATGTCTGGAAATTATTGAGTTTAAATATTTTAACACCTCGGCTAGTAGAACACGTGAACGCAAAAAATGTAGGGTCCTTTCAAAACTTTAGAGTGTGTTAGGAGTTTGGGGATGTCCTGGCTTATATGAACCATTGAACACTTCAGATACAAAAATTTTGCATTCTATTAATGAGGGGGATCAGAGAGCGAAGAAAATGAAAAAACTTCTCTAAGGTCAATTGAACGACCGTCCCAGTAAATTTTGCACATCTTTACTTTTTGTTAGACCTTTGTTTTTGATTGACTCTACTGGTTTTTCTCCTGCTTTCTGGTTAGTGCAGATTAGGATATGACCCTCCCTAGTTTCTAAAAGTCTTATATTTCTATCAAAATACAGTAATTTCTTCTTGGCATTTTGGTTCAGACTGTAAATATAGGTTAAAAGTCTTTGGGAAGGCAAAATTTTGGTAGAATTCAGAAACAAGGGATATAGTATTTAAGATTTTTCAGGATTTTATAATTTGTAAAACAAATGTTTTAACATTGGTTAACAGTCAAATGATCTTTTACATAATTGTCTATGTTTATCATACTTTGGAGAGCTTGGAATTGTGCTTGGAATGCTGAAGATTCTAGATTAGAACAAAACTAATTATTTACTTCTATTTTTCTTTGTTGAGTGCCTCTCAGTGCCTATGTTCCTATTCCATCTCAGTTAGACTCTGTAAACCTTTGTTGAGAAAGCCTGAGTGTTCTGAGTAATGGAATAGTTTTTAAGAATCGTATGTGGTATAGTTCTATTAGATTCAATTTAGTTTTGGACATTTTTATAATCAGTAAGAATTCCAATGAAACAACACAATTAAAGAAAAAAACCAAAACTCCCTACTCAGAGATCACAGTGAGGAGTGGAAAATAATTAGAATTTGTATCATAAACAACATCAAGACTGTTTATACTTCTTCAATTTTGCTTTTATGTTTTACTACAGGCAAAATTTGACTCTGAAATGCCATGTGAAACCGTGAGTAAGATCCACTTAGTTGATCTTGCTGGAAGTGAGCGTGCCGATGCCACTGGTGCCACGGGAGTTAGGCTGAAGGAAGGGGGGAATATTAACAAATCCCTCGTGACTCTGGGAAATGTCATTTCTGCCTTAGGTAGGTTTATACTTGTTTTCTGCCTTCTTTTATTCTTTGTGGTACTGTACTAGCACTAAGCAATTATGTTTAATGTTTGTGTTACAAACTGAGGTTGTATCCTCAAGGTTTTCTGAAGCCAAATTAGAGGGGAAAAAACCAATTTTAATAATTGTTTTTTTTTTTTTTTGTCCTGTTTTTCTTCCTGTCTGCAGCCGATTTATCTCAGGATGCAGCAAACCCTCATGTAAAGAAGAAGCAAGTTTTTGTGCCTTACAGAGATTCTGTTTTGACTTGGTTGTTAAAAGATAGCCTTGGAGGAAACTCTAAAACTATCATGATTGCCAGTAAGAATTTTAAGTTCTTTTCTTCAACGTATAGTGTTTCTTGTGAATTGACTGTAAATATTTAATTTTAAAGAGTCTCTTTGGGAAATAATGCCTTTTTATGTTAAAAAAATAATAGTTTTTCTATCTTGAAGAAAACCACTTCTTGTGATCCGGTCTGCCGTATCATATTACCAACTTTCCCCCTCTTCCTAGTTCCATAAATTTGCCATGTTCTTGGTATGCCAGCTGTGATACATGCAGAACGACTCTCAGCTTTTCTCTGCTTAAGGTACAGGACAGAAACTTTTAACTGATGGGAGAAAATCATAAGGACATAAAGGAAAGGTTACCCAACTTTGTTTTATATTTTAAAGCAGTAAATGTGTAATTTAAGAATTGAGAGAGGAGGGGGAAAGAACCCTAATAAATGTAACAAATAATAATAACAGTAATATACGTCTATATTTTCACTAATTAACTGAAAGAAGCAGAAGGGAGGAAAAATGTACAAAGGAAACATAATTGTTGAGGAGAATTCAAAAACTGTTTCCCTTCGAATCTCACTTTTCCTCCCCCTTTCTCTCTTCCCTTCCCCTGCCTCCATGTCTCCCTCACCCTCCATGCCATTTATTAACTAGGCAGGGGATCTACCCTGGGGTATGCACCCCAGATGCAGTTGTATAGTTACCTAAGCCCTGAAGTTTGTGGTGGTGTGGTGTGTCTGTGGGTGCGATTAACCAAAGCTTTAAGGGGTAAAGAATTAACTGATCTATTGACTCTTCAAAAATTTTCATGCTCTGGGATTTTATAGGTGGTACAGTTTGCCAGAACTTTTAAAAATATATTTCAATTTCGACTGAATATTGAGAAGTACAAATACAGTAGTCCTCCAATCTGTGGTTTCACTTTCTGTGTATTCATTTACCTGTATTTAATTTTGGTCCAAAAATATTAAATGGAAAATTTCAGAAATAAACAATTCGTAAATTTTAAACTGTGTACTGTTCTGAGTAGCCTGATGAAATCTTTCGCCATCCTGCTCAGTCCCGCCCAAGATGTGAATCATCCCTTTGTCCAGCACATCCATGCTCTATACGCTCCCTGTCCATTGGTCACTTAGTAGTCATTTGTTTATCAGATCCACTGTCCTGGTATCGCAGCGCTTATGTTCAAGTAACACTTATTTTACTTAATAATGGCCCCAAAGCACAAAAGTAGTGATATTGGCAATTCAGATATGCCAAAGAAAAGCTGTAAAGTGCTTCTTATAAATGAGGTGAAAGTTCTCAATAAGGAAAGAAAACAATTGTATGCTGAAGTTGCTAAGAACTACAGTAAGTACAAATCTTCTATTTAATGTGAAATTGTGAAGAAGGAAAAAGAAATTCATTCTAGTTTTGCTGTCACACCTCAAACTGCAAGAGTTACAGCCACAGTGTGTGATAAGTTCTTAGTTAAGCGGAAAAGTTGTGGGTGGAAATCATGAACAGAAAACATTTCAATTGACGGCAACATGTTGCTCCAAAAAGCATTGAGCCTATATACATAGACTTCAGCAGGGTGTCCGCTGAAACAAGTGACACCAAAGCATTTACTGCAAATAAGTGATGGTTGCACAGATTCAGGAATAAGTTTGGACTGAAAAATTGAAAAATTACTGGAGAGGCTGTATCTGCCGATGAAGAAGCTGCTGCCACATTTCCAGCTGAGTTGAAGAAGTTGATCAGGGCTCGGTACTATCCGTGGTTTTAGGCATCCACTGGGGGTCTTGGGACATATTCCCCGTGGATAAGGCAGGGACTACTGTAGTTTTGAAATCTTCTTCTTCCTATATTTTTAATAGAGAAAACTCCCTAAACTACAGTGGAGTATCTCATATTTTATTATAGCATTGGTTAGATGGCTGAGTCTATGCTTAAGAGCAAATGATATTTAATTTAGTATAGTGAACACCTTTACTATAAATCTTAAATAATTTTTAGGATTCATTACTGTGGCAATGAATATTTAGTCTATCTAATGGCCTGGGGTTAATCTGACTTTTAAATTACAAACCAACTTTGTATTAAATGAAACACAGAGTGCTAGATAAATTATTTTTTTAATTCATTCTTCACAGCCATTTCACCTGCTGATGTCAATTATGGAGAAACCCTAAGTACTCTTCGCTATGCAAATAGAGCCAAAAATATCATCAACAAGCCTACCATTAATGAGGATGCCAACGTCAAACTCATCCGTGAGCTGCGAGCTGAAATAGTCAGACTGAAAACACTGCTTGCTCAAGGGAATCAGGTTGGGTTTTTTTGAGATTTATGGATAATTTTCTTTGAGTAATGGCATCTATTTCTAGATCTTAATGAGACAATTATCTCACTCATTGTATTGATTTGAGTAAATAAGTTTTAAGTAAAGCTTGAATGAGTTAACTGGTTTCTCCTTTACATCACCGCCCGTTCCCCCACCCCCCACATTGGCTTTTATATTTATTATGTGCTCTGTGTGTAAGTAATATTTTATCTACTAAACCCATAATGATTAACCATCTAATAGTTATCAATTATGGATGGAAATTTAACATGCAATAGGATTAGCAGCATAATCTCCATTTGTAGAAGGAAATTGAGGTGCTTGGAGTAATATTTAAAATTCTACCCATTTTATGACTTGAAAATGTATTTTAACAGAAAGAAAGACTAGTTTGAATACCTTTCTGAGTCTTTATTTTGTATTGCCCATTACAGAGGTAGTTATCGTGATACAGTGACATGTGTAACATACCTGTGGCTTGGTTGAGAGGATGTCCCTGGGGCCTTGTTGATTGTTGAAACAGCCTCACTTCAGGATTCTAGTGAAGGAGCCTTGTCCTTTTGTGTTTTTCACAGTAAACTTCCTTATAATCTGCATAGTGTACATGCAGAGTTACAGTCTTGATGAACAGTGTGAGTTAGGTTCTTACAGGTTTAGACTGTTGAGATGAAAGGCCACTCTTGAAAGAAAATCAAGGACAGCTTTTTAAAATTTTCAAGTTAGATTGCAGTTAGAAATAAGGATACATTTCTTCCTATTTTCTTAACCTATGAATAGATGCATCATTAAAAAACACTTTTGTTTAAAATGCAAAGTACTTGCTTGGGAGCAGCTTCTTGAAGCCCTTCACTTTCCATAAGTGGTTTGACCTATGAAAATATTGACAGGTTAAAAACTTTACTGGGTTTCCTGTGTCCTGAAATACACCTGACAGTTCTTTCTCATAGGTGGCAGGCAACAGTTGCGTGGGAATTGCTTATTGCACTTAAAAATATGTCCACATCCATTTTACTTTTTGATGTGGAGCTTTCCTGTGTGTGAAGGGAAGTTGTCAGAACAAGTGGTCCTGCTGTATGTGCTGTTATTGGGCTCATGTAATTTATGACATGAACCACAATAGTCATTTTTATTTATACACTTTGTTAATGCAATCTTTTTTTCAATGTTTTTAAAACATTATTTATCTGAAGTAAACATTTAAGGATGATTGCACAGGATCACCCAAACTATTATATGTGAAGGGAAGTATTTGGAAAATTCTTGTGCAACTTCTTGTACTTAATGTTTCACTAAGTTATGAGAATGAAGGAAAAGAAAAATCAGCCATTTTAAGTCAAGCTGAGGAAATCCTTGAAAGGAGCCTTATCACATGGACAGAAAAACTCTAGAATTTTTAAATTCTATCTGAGGAGTGTTTTCAGAGGTATTGTGTATGCCTGTCACCTTATACTTTGTGGTCTTTTATCTTGTTTCTTTCATGACCAAAGACTACTGCTGTAATTAAAGGAGTATTTTTGTTACTGTAGTTTTGGGAGTGAGGATGGAAAAGATAGTCAAGTCTATTTTAGAACATACCAAAGATAAAATTCTTTGATAAACTTAATACATTACCATAAAAACAGGAGCCCAATTTAAAATAGCTTATCACAATATGAAGCTATAAATTGTTGTGAGACAATACAGGCTCATCCTAGATTAATGAAATTTGTGATGCTCAATAAAATAAGCAGGTGTTCTTAAGTGCCCATTAACAATCTCTGTTTCAAGTTTTCTGATGACATTGTTGTATTCCCACAATATTTTATTCCAAATGCTGCCATGGTTCATTGAGAATGTTACTGAAATCAAAGTTGCATTTCTAGGGTTATTTTAGTGCAGCTAAATAAAAGTAAACCCCTACTTTTAATAATTTTATGTATTCGTCAATGCAAAATGTCATGTGCATCAGAGTTTCAAAAGCACAATTTAAATAAAGCAAAATATTTTAACATGTATTGGATTTGCTTCTAAATATATATATATGTAGTAGTTTGCATATATATGTATATATATAAATATATATACATGAACTCTTTAGTGAAGTATTATATATTCACAAAAGAATACATAGTACAAGTATACAGATTAATGAATTTTCACAAGCTGAATTCACCCATATAACCTGCACCCACATCAAGGAACAGAACATTAACTGCACCCGAGAAGTCCCCTTTAAATTTCCTTACCAGGTACCACCTGCCCTACCTCTCAAGGGCAATGACTATCCTGATTTCTAAAGGCATAGGTTAGTTTTTAGTTGTGCCTACTTTTGTTCTTTATACAAATAGAATCATGCAGTATACAGTCTTTTGATCTCACTTCCTTCATTCAACATTGTATTTGTGAGATTCATCCATGTCAGTTCATGTAGTTGTAGATCCATTTATTTTCATTTCTGTATTGCATTCCATCATACAAATGTGTCCCAACTCATTTATCCTATTTTTGATGAGCATTTGGGGAGCTTCCTTCTGGTGCTATTAATGCTACTGTGGACTTTCCTGTACATGACTTTTACTGAACGTACAGGGAGGTGTATTTCTGTTAGGTTTAGACCTAAGAGTGGAATTGATGGGTCAGAAGTGTACACATATGTATGTTCAGTTTTAGTAGATACCACCAAACAATTTTTAGAAGTGGTTAGACCAATTTATACTGCACTGTCAGTATATGCAAGTGCCAGCTGTAGTTGCTGCAGGTCCTTGCTAACACTTGGTATTGTCCATTTTTCTTTGTAACCATCCTGATGGCTGCATAGTGGTATTACAGAAAGATTTTAGGTTGCGCTTCTCAGATGATTAATGAAGTCGAGCACTTGGATATCTTGTATTTTCAAGTGTTCTCTTTTATTATATTTAAAACATCTTTTCAGATTTCTGTTTTGAATTTGGTAGAGAGAAAATGTCTCAACTCTTCTCTCTTGAATGTATCTGGGGCTAAGAAGAAAATTAAACAATATAGAAATGAAATACACAACAAAAGTCAGGAAGGAAAGACAATGAGAGAAGATGGAAGTAGGGAAAAAAAATCGTCATTTTTGTAGCTGGAGTCACAGAGAAACTTTAAATAATAGATAGATAATAGAAATATTATGTGTAAACTTTTAAGATAGACCCCTCTCAGAGAGGGTCACACAGGAAAGCTCAGATATATGATGTTTGTAAGGCAGGACAAAGCTCTTCCAGCTAATTCAAAGGGAAAGACAGCATTGCAAAAACAGCATTATTTGAGCCTAAAAAAAAGCACTTTATCATGACAAAGAGTACAATTTATAATTAAAATCAAACATGACATCAGCTTTCATAAAGGAAAAAAAGAACAACAAATCCATAGGAAATAGCGGGAGCAGAGCCATACACGCATTTGTCATAGGGAACTTGAATTCCTCTTTTATTTCCAATAAGTGAGGACATAGCATATTTACATGACAAAATGAAAATTTTCTTGGATCAATACAAACCAGGAAAAAGACTGCCAACTCATGCAACAAATGACTACTTCTTTATTATGAGAAGAGCTATTAAAAGAATAAGAAAAAGATTGCAACCTGACAGAAAAGTGAACAAATAACTCATAGAAGAGTTTCAAATGGCGTCTAAATGTATGAAAGTATGCTCAATGTCATTTGAAATATGGTAAATGCAAATATTAAGAATAGTGAAATGCATATATATATATATGTGTGTGTGTGTGGATATATACATAGTTATCAAGCTGTGTATTTTACTGTATGTAAATTATACCTCAAAGTGCTTTCAAAAACAATGAGTTGTCCTTTTTACCTATCAGATGGGTGAAAATTAAAATGCTTGATTGCACAGCATAGTGGCAAGGGTGGAAGCCAGAGGCGCACATGGGTGCCGTCAGTGGAGTTGATATTGCTGCAGTTCTGATGTAGTGTTACTCTTGGTTTAACACATGAACTTAGTCTGAGTATTATTTAATCCTGAACATTTTTCTTCTAAACAGATACCTTACAATGAGTATTTAATTGGAAATGGTTTAGTTTTACCAAAGATTTCTTTTGAAAAGGTCTTAGATAGGCCTTTCTTTACATGTGCTTTAAAATAATTTTTCAAAAGTCATGGTGGTCATGATAGCCTGCATGCATATATCTGTCAGTTATTATCTACTTAGTTGATTGATGTGGTAGGAATGTGTCAGCCTTGATTATAGGTGAAAAATCCCAATAGTGGATTATGTAAAATTAACCATGTTATAAAGGTTTACTAATTGTTTTGAAAATTGTTAAACATATATAATGATGTAGTCATTATAACGTCTGCGACTAGCATTTCTTCATTTAAAATATTTATTGAGCACCATCTGTGTGCCAGAAGACATGCTAGGTGCAGTGATGCATTGAAGTAATGCATTAGCCAAGCTTCTTTTCCTTCACTAAGGATGAATTTGACCTTGGGTTAACTTGCTGGCTTCATTCTCTGTAAATGGATAAAAGTGGGATGCCAGCTATAAAACCAGGCAGCATCTCTAATGATAAAAATCCATCTAATTGGTGAATTGCATCTAGATTAGGATGAACTATATAAAAACCATAAATGCCTGTTGAGAAGCCATAGCTTTGGGTTTCCTTGAGTTCAGTGACTCTTATAACAGGTGTGTTCCTTGTGGGGACCCTGGAGAATGTGCCTATGGCATTGTTAGAAGAGATGTTGGCCCACGTGGGTTTCTAAGCTATGGTGGGCCCCACACACACTTGTGTGAATCTTGACCCCTCAAGAGGGCCAAGCAGTAGCTCCTGGACAGCTGTGATGATGACTGCAGAGACCACATGATGACCTTGCCCTTCCCAGCTGGCAGTTCTGCTTTTTGCTGAGTACACAGATACCAAGTGTGGCCCATGCTAATCTTGTTAGTCTGAATGTTTAACCGAGCCTAATAAGACGGCCTCATGGGTATTATATTTGTTTGAATAGAAATTGAGAAGTAAATAGTAATGAAAAGAATGCTTAGCCTCTGGGGAGGACAACTTGGCTATTAAAAAATATATATATACATATAGATAATTCACAGATTCCCTTCTAGTAATTTATTCTGTTGATACAGCCATGTATATTGTAGGAATAATCATTGTAGCATTGCTGGTAAAGCCGAAGAGTAGAAAAAACTGCATTTCCATTAATAGGGAAGCACTGACGTAAATTTTAGAATATTCATACAGTTCTACTCTGTGGTGGAATTGGAAATGTTAAAAAGAATCAAGTGGTTTTAATTATACTGTATTGGTAAAATGTCAGTTATGTTACATTTGTCTTTTTTCACTTTGCTGATTTGTATTGCAAATATAAGTTTACCAGGCTGCCATGGTTTTGAATATTATAAGTAACCCATAGAGTAAAAACTTAGTGGTGTGATTTATACTTTTTGAGGGTGTGGGACAATACTTTTTAGCTCCATTTAATAGTTTATTTGGCAGTTTGGGGTAATTTACTATATCATGAAGAAATCCTTCCTCGAGATTATCTCTGTTTACTAATTGCTGCTTTCTTATGGTTTAAATCTTAGATTGCCCTCTTAGACTCCCCCACAGCCTTAAGTATGGAGGAAAAACTTCAGCAGAATGAAGCAAGAGTAAGTGATACCTTGATTTCTTGTTATTTGAAAATCATAACTTTTACTATTATTTTAAGTGCATGCTTTTTAGTTGTGGTTATTTGAGACTTATTTTCTTGTTTTATTACACTTAACTTTCCCTGTCCCTACCCTGTGATTATTTTTTTAAAAAGCACAATAGTTGACTTTTTATGCATCTCATTTTGTTATCTGACTTAATAAATGGAGTTTGTCTGGCACTTGGTGGTTAAGGGTAACTGAAATTCACGTGCAGGCCTCACTGATGAAACAGGCCACTGGGGGCTTCAGAGTAGTCCCAGGTTGAGGGGAGGCCATGTTCAACATTGAATGAAACAGCGGTGATCCCCATATCTTAACCATAGCTAGACCATGACCACTGTTTAGGTTTTTGTCAACCTTTTGCTTCATTTCCAGTGGGAGGTGCAGCACTTGAGGAATCTCGAAATACTCTAGGTAGATGCTTAGTTTCTCTTAATCTAGGTGAGCTTTGAGGCAGGGAGAGAGAATGCAGTGAGTGTCCAGAAGAGAGAGTAGCTCTAGAGTTGTTGTGGGCTGAAGCCAGTGTTTGTGCACTGGTGCTTTTTGAAAACCAGTTTCATGACTGACCTGGTTCTATACTAATTTTGTTTTTTAAAAAATAACCCTCTGTGAAAAGAGAAACAGTCATTAAGGACATTTTTGGAGTGGATTTTGTTCACTGCACTGAATTGTTAAAACAGACTGAGAAAGAAAATTGGAGTCTGTTGGTGAGGCTCTTTCAAGAATACACAATATTGAAGATATAAATTGGGTTGTAGTTAAGGAACTTGTTGACACTTCCCTAGTTAATTATGCTGGTTAATTTGCTGATAATAGCATTAGTAAAATCATTAGTTTCTTAATCCCTATTTTTCTCATGAAATTTTGTATTTAGTACTTCAAATTCTAATTTTGAGTGCTTTGAAATGTCTGGATATAGTCTTAAATTGTTTCTTAATTATAGTTTTCAGGAATACCTAGCAAGTTAATAGAAACCAATAAACATTTTAATTGGAATGCATTACACATGCTGTGGCAGAAATGACTGCCTATCTTGTTCATAACATTTTCTAAATTTTCATCTATTTTTTGGATGACCTTTTAAAATCATTTGCCATCTGCTTGGCTATAAAGCTTATCATCTGGTCACATTGTTAGAGGTGCTATCACGTTTGCATTTTTTCTTAATTTTATAAATGAAAATTTTTTGCTTTAAATTCAATAGTAAAATAAACCCAAGGCATACTTAACATTTTAAAGCTAGAATTATTTGATTGAAGTGGGAAAGGATTAATTGGCTTATGTATCTTCAAAGAAAAAATATCTGTTGGTGAAATGCAAAAGCATTTATTAATGCTTTGTGTTTCTCGGATAAATTACCTGTGAGACTCTGTTAATTGATTATTATAAATTAGTAAATTCAATACACCAATCTTTCCCCTTTGGTAGGGAGAGAAGGTATAAGAATATTCATTTTCTGAAATCTCTTCTAAAATGAAAGCACTGAGAGCCATATAACTTTTATTGCTGTTATTGGACTTTGCAGGGTTGGCATCACTTAAGTGATGAAGGACTGGAATGTATGACTGTTCCAGATTAATCAGGGCAATCTTATCAAACCATTAAAAACAAGCAAAAAACAAAGTTAGGCTCAGTCCTGTTTCTGTTTCTTTTTTTTTTCTTTTTCCAAGAAATGATAGATTTTGACATTATTAGTGAAAACAAGAGATATTATTTTAAATTTGAAGTTCTACAGCACTATTAGAGGTAAACTAAGGAGTAAAGTGAATGACCAATTCAATATAGGTGGGTGAGATAGATTTTGGTTTTCTTCGTAGATAAACCATCAGTCCAGTTCCTCCATTTCTTGTAACAAATGCTTTCTTTCGTGAAAGTTGAGACATGAATGCTCTTTCCAGTTACTATATTTAATATTAAGTGTGTAGAAAGTATCTTCCTCTTAGCAGTGAAAGGACAGGCAAATGTATGCCGTGCATTCATTTTGGCCTGGTTCAGGAAGAGAACTTAGAGGGAAGACCAGTAGGTGTAAATGGGATGGTGTCTGCTGTTGGGAGTGGGGAGGTGGCAGGAGTACGAAAGTAAAAAGGGGAACAGACTTTGAAAGCACGAGTCGCCCTCTTCTGCCCCTCAGAAGTCATTCTCTTTTAGCTGTAGCTATATTTCTTTTCATAGAACACATTTTTCATTCTTTTTGTTTCTACCTCTTAGTTAGATATCACTTTTTTGCTTCTTAATGAATTACTCACTAGGATCATATAAAAAGTTTTAAGGAACTAGCAGAATATTTTCATTAACTTTGAGAAGCAACTTACAACTGTGGTGTGTTCAACAGTGGGGGACGTTTTCTCCCCTAAATTACATAAGACTGGAGAGAAGCTGATTTTTTTATCACAAGATTTTGCTTTCACTGAGTCAATTTAAGAGCCTCTTTTTTTTTTTTTAAGATTGAATGAGATTTATATACTCTATTAACTACAAAAGCAGATTATCTCTTAAAAGAAAACTGCAGCATCCCAGGTGATTTAATCACCACATCTAATGAGAGAGAAGAATGAATCACTATTTCTTAGGACCTAAAGTATAATCAGGAAAAATTAACTCATTTAATAAGACGTTGTCATCCTTGAACTTGTAATTTTGGTTAATATCCAAGGAAGCAGCTTTTATTTAAATACACCATGAAAAAGACTGTTGTAAAACTCTAGGCAATTTACATTCTTTCCTTTGCCGTGATGTAGGTTGTAGGATGAGATCAGCTTGTTTGATTTATATTTGGTGATGGTTCTTTCAGGGATAGGAATTGCTATCTAATTAAAAGATATATAGTACATGCTTCCATAAAGCTATAAGAGTTTGGAAACTTTCTAGAAGAAATATCACAATGTTTTTTTTTGTATGGAGAAACCACATATGTATATTTTTCCTTTTAGGTTCAAGAATTGACCAAGGAATGGACAAATAAGTGGAATGAAACCCAAAATATTTTGAAAGTAAGGACTATGAAAAGGTGTCTTAATTTTACAATGCTGGCTTTTAAATAGGTAAAACTTTTTCTTTCTCTTTCGAATATGGCTATTGTGTGCTTTGCCTAAGGTAAGATCAGTAGAATTGATTAGTGACTTGCGGGGCTGGGGTTCTGGTTTGATTTTGAAGAAATGGGAAAGGGAGCTAGTAGACATTAAAGCTGTGTGTTGTAACACACAGAGGTGATGTTGATACCTAAGGTGTTTGCTTTCACTTGTTGGAGTTTTTCCATTTTTGACTCAACGTGTATTAAATTTCATTTACTATTCAAGGGCATGCACTTTGCCTTTCTGCTTTTGTTAAACCCTGTATAAAAGCGATATGGTAAATGAAAACAAAACAGAACAAAACTTCCATGGTAATATTGTGAAATATGTGTGCACAACATAGCTAGTTTTAGAAATTTCTAACCTAGTAATTTCTTATCAGAATTTTTTTCTGTGTGTCTCAAGGGCTCGACAGTGATGGTCTGCAGTTTTGGCAGGACTCATTGTGAAAGGACATCAGTAATGGCTTCTGTGTTTTATGCTCTGTGCTTCAGAATGCATGTTTCTTTATGTTCCCATTTTTTGCTGAGCTGGTAGAAAACCTGCGTTCTCTATTGAGGGTCAGCAATGCCAGGTTTGAGGTTCAGAACTGAATTTTTTGCTTTGATAGAACTTGTCGGACTTTATGCATGAGAGACTGCGATCCAGAGGCTTTTGAATCCTAGGTTTGTTTTTGAGGTCTGTTGAGGTAAAACTTTTCTAAAGGATTAAAATGCCCCTCTAATATTGGCAAAGCTGGATAGATGAGGTTTAGCCTCATGTCTTGGCTGAACCCAAACTTGGATCCCCTTCGCATGAAAATGGGGCACCCGGTTACTGTTTCATGGGGGTAAACTTTTGAATGCCTGGATTAGCCATTTAGTTCTGCATTTAACAGCTCTCATAGAGAGTGGGGTCAGCATCATATTATTTAAAGCTCTTCTTGTACTACCCTTTAGGCAGCTCAGTCTACTCTGAGGGTTAAAACAACTTTTTCTTGTGAAGTCAGAGGTTGTGCTTCAGTTTTCAGTGGTGGTGCATTCTGATGGTCCTAGAGACATTTCTTCCAGTTACAGAAAATACTACAATAAATGAGGGTTTCTGCATTCAGACTTTCTTTTCTCTCCTCCAGATTATGATGATAATATATTATTTTGAGGTACTTCCTCAGTGTTTTTTTTTTGTTGAGAGGCTTTTGTGTAGGAAACTGAACAAAGACCTGACTCGCATTTCAGAATAGTCAGGTGTGGCATGAGCACCATCAAAGATGAGAATATTTTTCATTGTTTAAGTTGCACCAACTCTAAGAAGTAGTGCCGCATCCCCAGGCTCATGAAGCCAACTTGTTTGACCTTTCATGATGCAATGTACACTTTCCTCAGTAAATTTGTCAAAGAGAGAGAGGGCTTACATCTGCTCTATTTAAGGAAAAGCAAAATCAAATAGTTAGCTATTTGAAAAGATTACTGTACAATAATGCCTGTTAGCAGAGGAAGCAATGCAGCAGTGAATTGAAAGACTTCAGCCTCATCTCTTTTGCTGCTGTACCTCTCCTTGTCACTGTAGTGAGGGTTTTGTAACATCTCCGCAAAGATATCTACACAGAGTGTCACCTTGGTGAACCTCTGAACTTTTTCTTTTGCTTTTTCTCATAAGGTGATTTGGGGCCCTGAAGCTAAAACCCTTTTCCATTTCCAGGTCTATTTTTCATAAATCTTACCACTTCTATTTTTTATAACTTTTCAGATGAGAAGAATAGAAATGTGATATGTGCTAGGTGTTAAAGGTTATGAGAAAGGCTAATCATATTTCAAATTATTCCCTTCTTTTGACATTTCAAGCCCACTTTAGATTTCTCTGCTTGTGTTTGTGCTTTAAACTTGTAGCCGTTTTCTGTTCATGCTTGATAAGGGCTGTCTTCATCTCTTACTGGAAGACAGTGCTTGAGGGCTGAGGTGAAGAAGGGCTACTCAAAGGTTTTTTAAAACATTCTTTGGAAATTGATGGGGGAAGAGGTTGTTATTTGATGAGTTTGTATCTGTGTGGTTTGTGTAATCTTTTCCCATATTTCTGCCATCTGACTGTTCCTTCAGTCAGCTGTTTTTCCAATAATGCTTTGTAGAACCCACTCCAACCCAGTGACCTAAAACATTTATTCTGTCACGCTTGTGCAGATTGGCTGGGGGTTGGCTGCTCAAGTAGGTTTGGCTCGGCCTGGATCCAGGCTGTGGGTGGGTTCCAGGTCTGCTGCACGTGTCTCTCATCCTCTGACCAGTTGGTGGCCTGGGGTGTGCTCCCCTCATCGTCTTGGCCAAGGTACAAGCAGGCAGCCCTCATCATGTGAGCACGTTTCAAGCTTTTGCCCACGTCATGTCTGCTAGCATCCCATTGCCCCAAGCAAGTCACTTGGCTGAACTGAAAGTCAAGGGGGGAAATAAGTATATTTTAGCTGTAATAAGGCCATGGCAAGGGTGTAAATATGTAATCCTACTTTGAAATCAGTGGTTTTACTCTACACACGCCCACGTTAAAATATGAATCTTTAAATTCTGGGAACTTGCCCTTCTACTGAATTTGCCCATTTTGTAGAGACAGGCCCCGTAAAGTAGTACATTTCCAGGATTATCTTCTTCATTAGGACCCGGCTGTTTACCCTGCCAGTTTGTTACTCGGGATCCCTTCTGAGCCCCAAATTCTAAACATTCAAGGAGAGACCTTTGGGGAGAAGACTCAGAGTTAAAATGTCCAGGGGATTGAAGGCGATACAAGGACCAGTTTGGTTTTTATTGGTACAGTGAGAACCTGCCTTGCTACTTTTTCTTGCCCAACTTTATGGACAGGTAACCACGTGTCAGAGAAGACTAATAAGGAGAAGATTAAAGAAAGAGTATAACCCATCTTCTCAGTCATCAGAATGATGTTCTCATTGTTAAGCTGTCTGTGCTGTTTCAGTGATGAGACTTGAGATTAGTTGGTCAGAGTGCATCATGAGCAATTGCTTCAGGAGTATGTGGGAGCCCCTCGCATACAAGGGTAGGATGTTCAAGTCAGTGTGGAAGGCCAACATCCCTTAATGTCAGAATCACTCCTGAAAATCTTTTAATTCACCAGATCCTGAGCTCTTGGATTCTCAAAAGCCAAGGAGTAACTTTGTTCCCTTCTTTTAAATCTGGTCTTTGGCTTTCCTTGCTCTGGATGAGTGAAACTCTAGGTCATGTTGGATGGGGGTAGAGAGAGCATGAAAGGCTGCTGGGTAGACACATGCTCTGACAAAAGGCACTACTGTTCTCAGTCGTGCTGGTGCCACCATGGTGATAAGGATGGAGCCTAGGGCTTTTATGATCTTTGGAATTCAGATCTTAGGCTTGAGTTCTCTTTCTGACTCATTGGGTAGTGACACTTAACCACAACTGTCATACACCGTAGTTCCCAGCTTGGAAATCAGGATGGATGGCAACCTCTTCCATAACATCCAAGTTAACAGGGTAAGAGATAATGAAGTGCTCAGAGTTATTTTGAAAGTAGCTAATGACAGTGGAAAGTATGTATGTCTTAAAGAGGCAGCTCTTAGGCAGGTAAGGAGAGTTTTATTATCCTCCACAGCGTGGTCTGTGTATCTACTCTCTTGCCCCTTCATCTTCTTTCCTCCTTTTCATTAATCTTAATTTTCTAGAAATGAAGGTCCAAGCTCCCCTGCCTGGCCCTGAAAGGCTCTGATCTCAGTTTCACGTGTCTTGTCATAGTCCTCTGTCCCAACACCGCATCCCGCCCTGCCAGATGTCTTGTTGGTCCCTGCACAAAGCTGGGCATTGGGCTTTTTGGTGTCTCCGGGCCTTTGCCTGTGTTGTCTGTCACTCAAGATACTTCCCCTTTCTCTGACTGTTAGATCCATTTTGAAACGCTCTCTGATCATTCTTCTTTCCCACTTCCTAGGTAGGATGATGTTGTTTTCCTCTGGCTTTTATAGCATTTGGTTTTACTTTCTGTCACAGTATTCATCATCTGAGTTTGATGGTCTTGGGGTATCCCTCAAAACCGGAGCAGGATCTGGGCAAGGACTGGCTCTGTCCCTCTGTGTACCAACTCTTAGAACTCTGCTTCTCACCAAGCAGGCATGCAGTGAAAATTTACTGGATTCAAGTAGTATTAAGAAATAAAAATAAATAGCTTTATATTAATTTGCTAATACAATAACAAAATGCCACTCTGGAGGCTAGAAATCAAGATCAAGGTGTCTTCAGGGTTGGTCTCTCCTGAGGGCCTACCTCCTTGGCTTGTGGGTGACCCCATTCTCTCTGTTCTCACGTGACTTTTCTCTGTGTGCCTGCACTTCTGACCACCCTCTGTGTGTCCTAATCTCTTCCTATAAAGACACCAGACAGATTCGATTAGGGCTCACTCTGATGGCTTCATTTTAACTTAATTACCTTTTCAAAGGCCCTATCTCCAAAGACAGTCACATTCTGAGATACTAGGGGTAGGGCTTCAACATACGAATTTTAGGGGAGGGGCTCATTTCAGCCCATAACAACCCTGCACCATACAAATCTGATGACCCAGTGGGAAAAGTAGCATGGAGTGTTGTGCAGTAGTAGTCTTGCCCTAACAGTGTTCTATCTACACATTCTGTCTTACTTTTCTCATTCCTATTTGAAAGACTTATATATGACTGTATTTTTATTCTTGGAAGGAATGTGGCTGAATTCCTTTTGATTGTAGTCTAGTTGTTCATTTGGGCCAGTTAGATCTTTGTTGTTCAAAGTGTGGTTCTTGGACCAGAAGCATCAGCATTACCTAGGAGATGGTTAGAAATGCAGAATCTCAGGCCCCACTGTAGACTTCCTACGTCATCATCTGCACTTTCATAAGATTTCCAGGTGCTGTGTCTACACCTTAAAGTTCGAGTGTTCAATTAGAAAATCTGAGGAAAGGTGGAGCAGTCTTGGGCTCAGATCTCTTCTCCCCCTTCTCCTGCTCTGCCCTGTATTGTTGGGGCTGAGTACTGT